GGGAACGTGCAGCTTGTCTGGGCAGCCTGTGCAGTGATTCCCAACGGTCCCAGTGAGGAATTCCTTCTGGAACCCTGCTGCTGTGCCCATAGCACACACTCTATGGGCATCAACCCGTGCCGTAGTGAGACACCAGGTTCCGGTCCCTCTTCAGAGATCTCTGTCCTTCCCCTGCAGGTGCTGCCGTGCCCCACAGCTCCCCATTCATTTCTCCTGCCCATCCGGAATCCTGCCCCGGAGCTGCCCCAAGCGGAGCTGAGCCTGGCACCGTCCCCGAGGGGCAGCAGAGCTGCAGGTCCGGGTGCCCGTGGGAAGCAACTGCCCCTGGAGCCCAGCCCCGTGCCCTGGCAGGAGGCTTCGAGTCCCCTTGGAGCTCCCCGGCTCCTCTCTCCTTGCTCTGGAGCCCACGGGGGCTCTGCCCTGTCCTCAGTGAGCAGGGGCAGCAGGAGCAGGGTCCCCAACAGCCTGGGGCCGAGGGGCCAGGGAGGGGCCAGGGGCACTGGAAGGGGCTGCTGGGGACTGGACCCAGAGCAGCCGCACACCTCAAGGGTCCTGGTCAGCATCAAGCAGCGGCAAGGACGGCCCTGGGGGCACTCAGAGGCACGGGAGATGGGCAGCAGGAGGTGCTGCGGGTGGCAGGGGCACCCTCAGGGACACGGGGGGGGGGCATTTTGCCCCTTGCTCGGCTGTGGCTCAGGAGGGAGGACGCTGCATAAGGGGGGGTCCTGCCCAACACCAGGTCTGTGCCCACACAGACCCAAGGGATCTCATTGCAGCACCACCCAAAAGCCTTGCTTTCCTAGGGGAGCAGCTTGGGAGCACCCAGTCCCTCAACACAGGGGCAAACACACGTCCTGGCAGCCAGGGCGAGGACACCAGAGCACATCTGCCCTCTGTGTTCTGCCTCAGCCTGGGTAAAGCTGCAGCGTGTCTCATCCAGCACCAATGGAACACGATGGGAGAGGGCCAGGCTGTACCATGGCAATGCCTCCTCCCAATGGGGCCCGATGGCTCGTGAGTGGGAGCAGTGGGGCTGGAAGATGGACACGGGGGCTCCAAAGTGCTTCTGGATGCCCTGGCTGATGGCAGAGCCAGCGGCTGAACCATGAAGCATGGAGGGACATTGGCTCCCCAGGAGGTGAGGGCCATGGAGGAGGTGATGTCCCCCTGGTGCTCTGCCAGGCTGGAGCTGAGGGCCGGGCCCTGTGTGCTCTGGAGAAGACAGTGGTCCCAGTGAGGAGGGCCTGAGGTCACCTCCAGCAATGGCTTTGCCTTGGGTGGCTGGAGAGGCCCCTGGTGCCTCAGGGGAGAATCACATGGGGACATCTGGTGAAGTGCTGAAGAAGATTGAGCATGGGCAATGGGATCATGGGATCATGGAACCAACCAGGTTGGAAAAGCCCTTTCAGCTCATCCAGTCCAACCATTGCCAGCACTGCCAAGGCCACCACTGCCCCATGGCACTGAGGCCTCGTCTCCATGGGGTGTGAACCCTTGCAGGGCCGGTGCCTGCAGCCCTGCCCTGGGCAGCCTGTTCCAATGCCTGAGCACCCTCTGGGGCAGGAATTGGTCCTCAGCTCCATCTAACCCTGCCCTGGTGCAGCTTGAGGCCGTTTCCTCCTGTCCCATCCCTTGTTCCTTGGGAGCAGAGCCCAGCCCCTCCTGGCTCCATCCTCCTCTCAGGCAGTTGGAGGCAGCCATCAGGTCCCCCCTGAGCCTTCTCTTCTCCATCTGAACCCCCCAGGTCCCTCAGCCCTTCCCCATCACCCCTGTGCTCCAGGCCCTGCACCAGCTCCATTCCCTTCTTGTGACCCAAGTGCAGGACCTGGCACTCAGCCTTGTTGACCCTCATGCAGCTGGCCTCTCTGCCCATCAATGCAGCCTGTGCACATCCCTCTGCAGAGCCTTCCTAACCCCAGCAGATCAACATTGCCCCCCCGTGTGGTGTCCTCTGAAAGCTTCCTGAGGGAGCTCGATCCCTTCGCCCAGATCATATAAAAGACAATAGATAAAGATATCAAAGAGAATGGCCCCCAATACTGCTCAAAACTGATAGAACTTGTTTAAAACATAGCCCTACAAGGAACCTGTGCCCAGGGAGTCCAGTAGTTGCTCATTTTGGAGACAGCATCCTCCATCATAACAAAGGGTAGAGCTAGTGGAGACCAGCCCATGTGTTCATCCAAATGCTTCAAATCCGACAGCTACAGCTAACAACTGTTTTCCTTCTCATTTCCAGCCCAATTGTATCCATAGCCAGTTTGTACCTGTTTGATCTTACCAGTGGTGGGTTTCAGATGAAATAGTGGTTGTTTCTCTCGGGGACTGGCTTCCCTGTTGAGTTAATAGTGTAAGGGGTAAGCAGGGTAAGACTCCTTAGCCTCTGCTGCTGTAAAAGCTGTCCTCTTGGCCTGTGATGCTTGAAAATTGATGACTGAATCTGTATGTTTTCAGGTGCTTGAATCTGAGCTGGGCTCTTGCTGCCATATTTACCAATGTTATTGATAATTCCTTTCCTTTAATGGAAATAGCTACATTCTGAGGTCACATTTACCTGTTCAGCACTGCTATTTATGTTGGTCTTCCTATGATGGATGTAGAGGCTGCCATCTCTTTCCAGCAGATTGGATCTCATCTGCTCTTTTAAAGGGATGAATTAGGAGTGTCCAAGCGGAACACACGTGTTCTGAGCTCCTGGTTTGGCTGGAGCACTGACCATGCTGATGGCCTCAGGAAAGTCTGTGTGCTGCCCTTCCCAGCCCAGCTTTCCTGTGGGTGCAGTGCAGATGATGCTTGTTTCTATTGAGAACGGGTGGTGTTTGCAGAGACCTGAGGAAATGCTGAGCTCCCAATGTTATTCCTGAATTTGCTTTATGTTTAGGAAGGATGAGGCTAAATTAGAAAGTACAAACGCACCGTGACAAAAATACCGCTTGTACATTGTGGTGGAAAGGTTGGGGTTTTGTTCCATGACTCTTGCAAATAAAAGACGTTTCCCAAACAAAATGGGTTGGGTTAGAAGGGACCTTAAAGCTCATCCAGCTCCAACCCCTGCCACAGGCAGGGACCCCTTCCACGGAGCAGCTTGCTCCAAGCCCCTGTGTCCAACCTGGCCTTGAACACTGCCAGGGATGGGGCAGCCACAGCTTCTCTGGGCACCCTGTGCCAGCGGCTCAGCACCCTCACAGGGAAGAGCTTCTGCCTAAGAGTCAGACTGAGTCTCCCCTCGGGCAGGTTCAAGCCATTCCCCTTGGCCTGCCCCTAGATCCTTTGTCCCAAGCCCCTCTCCAGGTTTCTTGCCTGGATCTCTCCCTCCACTGCAGCACTTTCAAGTCCTGCTGAGCTCTCTTCTTCCTTAGTGTGCTGCTTGCATTACTTGTAACTTCCATCTCAATCAATGGGTCAGCTTCTGAAAGCAGTATTGGCAAAATGGCAATACCTTGGTCTTAAAGCCCACAGAGACTCATCTGTGTGACAGCAGCTTTGTTCCTGAGCACACGGGGGTCTCGCTGTGTTTGCATTTTTCTCTTTAATCCGAACCATCAGGACTCCAGTATGTGCTTTAAGAACAATGGGCCTGAAAGCTCCACTCCAGTTTCAGTAAATATGTTCAAGATGAGCTAATTTGAATGAAAGATAGAAGTATGTTTAAAACAATAACGTTTGCAAGACATCACATTCATCCTCTTTTACGATCCCCATGCATAAATGTGATGGAGGCCAGCGAGGATGGCTGTAGGGAAGAGAATCTCATCACCACCTGAGCTTGCTACATGTGGGTATTCTTCAAGCTCCTGTGATGTTTTACAGCATAAATGCACTCTGGACACTTTTGGATGCTTTTCTGCTGCCAGGAAGCTCCAGAACACAACAGCAGAACCCAGAGCAGTGACCCGAGGAGCTGGATGGGCACAGGGATGACTTCTGCACCACTTGCACTGCCCAGCACCGCGGGTCCCTCTGAGCCGTGCCTGGCAGCCGGCCCTGACCCCGCTCATTCCCAGGACACTCGTGGCTGCTCTGTTCCAGGATGTTCCATCACACTGCGTCAATCCGAGCAGGGCCGTGCTGCTGCCACCACTGATGGACGTGGCTGATAAGGGACAGGAGGTGCTCCCCAGAAAGGTCTTTGTCCTTGTCAAACCCAGCACAGGGCCCTGCAGGACGAGGGCAGATGGGGCAGATCAGGCCCTCTGCGGCCACCACAGGGAATGAACTTTCCATTCTCATCCCTGGAGCCTGTCCAGTGCTGGCTCTGGCTCTGTCCCTGCCTGGTGCTGTCAGAGCAGGAGCTGCTGCTCACGGCATCCAACAGGAGGATGCTCAAAGAGACCCCGCAGAGCCTTTGATGCCGCAGGGCTGCTTTCGGCCGTGTCCAACAGGCTCTGGCTCCTGCCATTGCCCCTCTAATGTCCCTCCCTAACGCTGGCACCTTTCACGCTTCCCTCCAGCCTGAATCCTTCCTTTCAAAGTCCCTTTTGTAGCTCCCTGTCTCTGTGTAACCCCGCTGATGCTCCCCTTCCTCCTTGACACAACCATGGGAGGCAAACACCCTCAGAGCAGCATCCCCGGTTGCGGAGCCCCTTCTTCTCCCGGCAGGGGCCGTTTCCAAGGCTCCTGCACACGGGTGGGCAGTGAGAGAGCCCCGAGCAGCGCTGCAGGAGCTGTGTGCCCGGCCGGGGCTCGCGGGGGCATCCCCCTCTCCATAGAAACCCGGCTCCTGCTCCCCGTGCGCGCCCTCAGCGCTGCCCAGCCCCAGGAGCATCCCCACGGAGCCGCCGCTCGCTGCGGGCTCGGGGCAGAGCCGCTCCCCGCTGTGCGGGCCCCGGGAGCGGGGGATGGAGGGGCCGGGCCGGCGCTGGCAGCAGCGGGAGCCGCGTCCAGGTCGGGTGAAGGCCGCGGGGAGGCGGCTCCAGGAGCGGGCCCAGAGGCAGGGGCAGCCGCGGGCGAGCCCCAGCGGGGCTGGAGCCGAGCCCGGCCCGGCCCAAGCGGTCCTGGGCCAGTAGCGGAGCGCGGCAGAGCGGGGCCGTGCCCCGGACCCACATAAAGAGGCGGCGGGGAGCGGAGCGCGGAGCAGAGCCCGGAGCAGAGCCCGCAGCAGCGCTGCCGCAGCCGGAGCGGGGCCATGGAGCAGTACTTCTCAGCCACGCACAGGATGGAGCAGGAGGTGATGTTCCCCAGCCTGCTCCGAGGGGTCTTCCCGCAGCAGCAGCAGCAGCAGCAGCACGGGGAGGCTCCGGATGCCGATGGCCACACGGACCTCTACGAGCGCTACCAGCAGCTCAAGGCCATCAAGCCCATGGTGGAGAAGGGCCTGGCCTCTGTCCATGAGCAGAGCTCGAGCAGCAGCGACGCGGACGCACCTTGGGATGAGGCCGGCGGCAGCAGCGGGGATGCGCGGCTGGAGCAGCGGCTGTGCCACCACCTGGCCGGGCTGCAGCAGGTCCTCAGCCACCTCACCAGGGACACCAATGCCCTGACGCGGAGGTACAGCCAGATCCTGGAGCAGATCAGCCCCAGCGAGGGCAGCCCAGCTGGTGACCCTGCCCCGGCCACCGGGTGAGAGCTGGGGATGCTGCGAGCAGGGGCAGCGGGGCCAGGGCCGGCCCATGGCCACGGAGGGGTCCCCAGCACCGCAGGCTGGGAGCTCCTGGCAAGTGCATTGCAATGGGGGCTGTACCGGCACGTTCCCGTCTCCGTGCCACAGGAGGGGACCCATGGCATGGCTCTGTGCAGAGCCGCTGGGGCTGAGGGTCCCTGGAGCAGGGCTGGTGCCCAGCTCCCTGCGGGCACGGTCTCGGCTTCAGCACGGCTGCCGTTGCAGGACGGGTGCTGCTGGCACGAAGGAGAGGACGTCCCCACCGTGCCCATCGCGGCTCTTCCCAGCGCCGCCCGTGGCAGCGGAGCTCCCGGCGCTGGCACCGACGCCTGCGGCCACCCCGGAGCCAGACCCGGCCTCGTCCCCTGGGAAGGAGCCTCTGGAGGTGCTGCAGGTCCAGGGAGGAGCCGCGGGCTCGTGCCCTGCTCTTCATTGTCCCAGAGCAGCACGAAGCAGCCATGGGGAGCGCTGGCCCCGAGCCCCGAGGGTCCCTGCGGCTGCCGAGCCCTTTTCCAGCTGGTTCCTGGACTCCAAGGGGCCTTTCCCCTTCTTTCATAATAAAATGAGCCCTGAGAAGCCCTCGCTGCTGCTGGTGTTGGTGCTTTGCTGGGGTGGAGCCCTTGGGGAGGGAGCTGCTGTGGGGCAGGGGGGCACTGGCTCTGCTGGGAGGGGCCTTTCCATGCAGTGATGGGGAACGTGAAGGGACACAGAATCCCAGGCTCACAGCATGGGTTGGGATGGGAGGGAATTCCAAAGACCATTCAGCTCCTAATGCCCTGCTGCAGGCAGGGACATCGTGCAGGGGTCCAGGTTGCTCAAAATCCCCTCCTCCCTGACGTGGAACACTTCAGGGATGGGGAACGTGCAGCTTGTCTGGGCAACCTGTGCAGTGGTTCCCAACAGTCCCAGTGAGGAATTCCTTCTGGAACCCTGCTGCTGTGCACATGGAAGAGAGGATGACCGGCATTGACCCATGCTGTAGGGAGACACCAGGTTTAGGGCCCTCTTCAAATGTCTCCGCAGGGGTGTCCATTCACTGCCTGTGCTGAGGATGACATGAGGACAGTCAGAGACACATTGGTGACAGTTTCCCACATCCCAATCTGTGGCAAGCACTTTGTTCCATCAGAACAGATTTGCCCCCTGTGTCCCTTCTCAGCCTGGGATAATCTGTGGCCTGTCTCCTGCAGAGACAATGGAGCAGGAGAGGGATAAAGGGAGAGAGCTAGGCCATTCCCACTGCAATACCACCACTGGATTGGAAAGATTAGTTCATCCCATGAGAGAAGAGTAAGTGGAAGATGGACACGGGGACTCCAAATTGACTTTTTGGCTCCTCTGCCTCCTTGATGATGGCAGATGCAGGGGTTGAGGCATAAGGAATGGAGGGAGGGATGTCTATACCTGTTGGGGTGAGGACCATAAAGGATGTGATGTCTCTCTAGTTATCACCTGGCTGCAGCTGAGGGATGGCACCTGTATTATCAGAAGATAATGGTCACAGTGAGGACCTGAGGGTATTCACTGACCCCGGCTGAACGTGAGCAGCTTGTGCCCAGGCAGCCAGCAAGGCCACCACAATCCTGGCCTGTACCAGCATCAGTGCGGTAGCAGGGCCAGGACAGGGATTGTGCCCCTGTGCTGGGCACTGGTGAGACTGCACCTCGAATCCTGTGTTCAGTTCTGGGCCCCTCAATGCAAGAGAGACACTGAGGGGCTGGAGCGGGCTCAGGGGGGACCTGACGGCTCCCTACAAGTGCCTGACAGGAGGATGGAGCCAGTAGGGGCTGGGCTCTGCTCCCAAGGAACAAGGGATGGGACAAGAAGAACCGGCCTCAAGCTGCACCAGGGCAGGTTTAGATGGAGCTGAGGAACAATTCCTGCCCCAGAGGGTGCTCAGGCATTGGAACAGGCTGCCCAGGGCAGGGCTGCAGTCACCATCCCTGCAAGGGTTCACACCCCGTGGAGACGAGGCCTCAGTGCCATGGGGCAGTGGTGGCCTTGGCAGTGCTGGCAATGGTTGGACTGGATGAGCTTAAAGGGCTTTTCCAACCTGGTTGGTTCTGATTCTATGAACTCCTGAGGTCACCTGCAGGAATGGCTTTTGGCTCAGACAATGTGCTCCCATTTCCTAGGACGCTCGTGGCTGCTCTGTTGCAGGACATTGCATCACGCTGCGTCAATCCCAGCAGGGCCACGCTGATGCCACCACTGATGGACGTGGCTGATAAGGGACATGAGGTGCTCTCCAGAAAGGTCTTTGTCCTTGTCAAACCCAGCGCAGGGCCCTGCAGGACGAGGGCAGATGGGGCAGATCAGGCCCTCTGCGGCCCCCACAGGGAATGAACTTTCCATTCCCATCCCTGCAGCAGCTCAGGATTGCAGCGGTTCAGTTCTGTCTGCGCAGCCACAGGCAGTGGAGCAGGAAGCAGGGCCCTGGCACAGGCTCAGCAGCAGGAGGCAAGAGATAAAAGCACAGTCTGGACTCAAAAAGTGTTTTCTCATAGATTAGAAGTGCCTGGGAGAGGTAAATAGGAGGCACCTACACAAGAAGTTTCTATAAAACATTTGCTCCAGGAAGAGTCATCCATGCTCACAGTTAAAATAACTGGGAAGGGGGGGAATCAACGTTATTACAAATACCAGTTACCTGCATGGGATATGCCAGAATGGAACAGAAGAGCAAGCAATTAAACACCAAGTACTGAAGTGTAGCTTTTATTATATGAAAGCGAGCATTGGTTCATTTCCCAGCCATGGACGGTTGAGCAGTGACAGCAGCCTGACAGTTCTTGGTATGGAATTGGCTCATCCTGTGCCCTGTCCCCTCAGCGAACTGGGTAGAATTTCTCAAAAACCTCTCCCATTCTTCTCTTTTCTGCAAGAGGTGAAGGTGAGAAACCTCATGAGCCTTTGAGATTGATTCGGATGTTTCGGATTGAAGCCTTAAGGGTAACTACCTACCTGCTTTGGGAATGGCTTTAACATGCCCGAGGGGAGACTGAGCTGAGCTCTTAGGCAGAAGCTCTTCCCTGTGAGGGTGCTGAGGCGCTGGCACAGGGTGCCCAGAGAAGCTGTGGCTGCCCCATCCCTGGCAGTGCTCAAGGCCAGGTTGGACACAGGGGCTTGGAGCAAGCTGCTCCAGTGGAAGGGGTCCCTGCCCGTGGCAGGGGTTGGAGCTGAGTGAGCTTTAAGCTCCCTTCCGACCCAAAAAATTCTATGATACTATGAAGGCACCAAATCTCTGATTTTTGCTACCAACAGTGAGCTACCACCTTCTGCATAAACTAAATACATCAGTCCTTGTCCTCAGGGCTCTCCACAGATCCCTGTGAAGATATCTCACTATTAACACTTCTTTCTTTCCACATATTCCTTCCAACATTGCATGATGTTGGAACTAGATGATCTTAAGGTCCTTTCCAACCTTAACTATTCTATGATTCTATGTGGATCACAATCCAACAGCACACTCCCTAAACTGCAAATGTATAAGAAAATAGTCAATTTTCACCAGAATTTGCCATCGCTGGGCTCAGGGACAACATTCACTAAAGCTCCGTTCCTCTTCTGAGGTTCTCATCAAAGCACCTGATGAACTAAACACAAGGCACAGAGTTACAGGGAAGAGCTTCTGCCTAAGAGCTCATCTCAGTCTCCCCTTGGGCAGGTTCAAGCCATTCCCCTTGGCCTGTCCCTACAGGCCCTTGTCCCAAGCCCCTCTCCAGGTTTCCTGTAGCCCTTTTAGGCACTGGAAGACCTCTTTATATATTATATTATTCTATATTACATATATCTATATCTATATAAGAATATATTATATATAGCATTATATATAATATAGATATTGTATATATATTATACTATATATAATATATGGAGCATTATATATGATCTGTAATACATAATATATAGATCTCTGTAATTATATTTATATTTGTAATACAGGTAGACCTCTAGTTTATAATATTATATGAGGTCTCTAATTTCATCTCACAAAACCCTTAATACCGCTGCAGTTTACATTGTGAATAAGCAGGAAGGAGCTCGTAGTCGGTCCAACTTCCTAGCTAAGCCCAGGCTCCATAAGCAGCCCAGCACCATCCTTCCAGCAGGGCACACGAGGGCAGGCTGAGCTCTTCCTTTCAAAGCCCAGCTTATCCTACCTGCTGTCTTGAAGTCCTCCGGGTGCTGCCTGACGTACTCCAGCAGCTCCCTGTCCAGCTTGGCGTACATGTACGCCGTGCGCTTCGCCATGTAATAGCCAACAAACCAGCCCACGGTGGTGAACAGGACCTGGCGGTGAACTCCTGCGGCACGAAGGGGAAGACCCTGGTCTCAGCCCATCATTCTGGCCCCATATAAGCCCCCACTTTCTCCAGCCCCCCCCACCCCCCTGCACACTTCAGCCCCACACAGCCCAGCTCATCTCTCCCCAGTTTGCCCCTGTGGACAGGGGCCCATAGCACCCTCACCTGCAGCCCTGCAGAGAGGACCCCCCTTTGCTCAGGGCTCCTTCCCCTTCCTGCCCCCATAGCCCTCATAAAGTGACCTCAGATCCCCTCCGCACCCATAGGATGCCCCCTCCCAGCTCCCTCTGATTCCAAGCCCTGCTAACAGAACCCCCAGGGCTCCCTCCCCTTCACTCCCATCCCCACATCCCTCAGAGACACCCAAAACCTCTCAGAGCACCCCCCAGACCTTCACCTTAGGACCCCTTCTCCTTCCCACTGCCCTCACACCCCACAGCCACCTCAAACCCCAAACACCCCTTCCCCATCGCCACTGTAACTCCCTCAGCCCCTCACTTCAGAGCCCCCTCCCCTTCCTTCCCACCCCTATATCCCTCAGTGTCACCCCAAACCCCACATCCTCCATCCCTCAGGACCTCTGCTCCTCACCTAAGCCTGGTTCCCCCTTCTCCCCACCCCCGTATCCCTCACATCCCACACATCCTGTTCCCCATCCCCACAATACCTTCCTCAGCCCCTCACCTCAGAGCCCCCCCCAATACCCCTCAGTGTCACCCCAAACCCCACATACCCCCATCCCCTCACCTCAGGGTTCCATCCCCTTCTTTCCTACCCCGATATCCCTCAGTGTTACCCCAAACCCCACATCCTCCAGCCCTCAGCACCCTCTACCCCTCTGCTCCTCACTTAAGGCTGGTTCCCCCTTCTCCCCACCCCTGTATCCCTTAATATCACCCCCAATCCAACATACCTCCATCCCCTCACCTCAGGACTCCCTCCCCTTCCTTCCCACCCCTATATCCCTCAGTATCACCCCCAATCCTGCACACCCCCTTCCCAGCCTCCCCAATCCCCTCACCTAAGGGGCCCTCAGAGTCACCCCAAATCCCTTATACCCCCTCCAACAGCACCCTTTACTCCCCAGACCCTCATTTGAGGGTAGTTCCTCCTTTACACCCCTATATCCCACAGAGCCACCCCAAATCCCACATATCTCCATCCCACATACCCACTATAACTCCCTCAGCCCCTCACCTCAGAGCCCACCCCTCTTCTCCCCACCCATACCTCCCTCAGTGTCACCCCAAACCCCACATCCTCCATCCCTCAGCACCCTCTACCCTCACCTAAGCCTGGTTCTCCCTTCTCCCCACCCCTGTATCCCTCACATCCCACATCCCCTTCCCATCCCACATCCCCACTGTAACTCCCTCAGCCCCTCACCTCAGGGCTCCATCCCCTTCTTTCCTATTCCTACACCCCTCAGTGTCACCCCAAACCCCACATCCTCCATCCCTCAATGTCACCCCTCTACCCCCGTGCTCCTCACTTAAGGCTGGTTCCCCCTTCTCCCCACCCCTATATCCCTCACATCCCACACATCCCCTTCCCATCCCCACAATACCTTCCTCAGCCCCTCACCTCAGAGCCCTTCCCCTTCCCCCCACCCCTACCTCCCTCAGTGTCACCCCAAACCCCACATACCCCCATCCCCTCACCTCAGGGCTCCATCCACTTCTTTCCCACCCCTATATCCCTCAGTGTCACCCCAAACCCCACATCATCAACCCCTCAGCACCCTCTACCCTCACTTAAGCCTGGTTCCCCCTTCTCCCCACCCCTGTATCCCTCACATCCCACACATCCCCTTCCCCATCCCCACAATACCTTCCTCAGCCCCTCACCTCAGACCCCCCCCTTCTTCCCACCCCGATACCCCCCAGTGTCACCCCAAACCCGACATCCCCTCACCTAAGGGCTCCGTCCCCTTCTTTCCTACTCCTATATCCCTCAATGTCACCCCAAACCCCACATCCTCCATCCCTCAGCACCCTCTACCCTCATCTAAGCCTGGTTCCCCCTTCTCCCCACCCCTATATCCCTCACATCCCCACAATACCTCCCTCAGCCCCTCACCTCAGAGCCCCCCCTTCTCCCCACCCCTACCTCCCTCAGTGTCACCCCAAACCCCACACACCCCCATCCCCTCACCTCAGGACTCCCTCCCTTTCCTTCCCCTCCCACCTCCCTCAGTGTCACCCCCAACCCCACATCCTCCACCCCTCACACCCCCTACCCTCACTTAAGGCTGGTTCCCCCTTCCCCCCCCCCCCCCCATACCCCTCAGACTCACCCCGATCCCCCCCACTCCCGTCCCCATCCCCTCACCTCAGCCTCCCCCTTCCCTCCCGCCCAAGGCCTCCCCTCAGGGCTGCCCCGCTCCCGCCGCACCGGCTCGGATGAAGGGCCGGTGGTTGAAGCCGTTGTCCAGCAGGGCCGAGAGCCAGCCGCAGAAGCCCAGCCACGCCGAGATGTGGTTGAACACGGCCGGCGGCGGCAGCGACCGCGACTCGTCGGGCAGGAACACCATGGCGGCTGCGGCGGGCCGCCAAGGTGACCGCGGGGGAGCGGTGCTGCAGCGGCACCTTCCGCCGCCACCGCGGCCGCGCACTCGGGTTCCGCGCCCTGACGCAGCCTCGGAGTTTAACCAAAACCCCCTAAAACAACCCCAAAATGAGGCTTCCCCCCCCACCGTTCTCTCCCTCAAAGCGTTTACTGGGGCTCGGGGGTCCCCTGGGTGGAGGCCAGGATGTAATCAAGTGTTTAAAAATCAAACCCAGCTCATTTTCAGAGCTGTTCTTGCCAATGGGCTAAAGAATGAGACTGAGCACGGCGTTCCTTTCTTAATACAAAATCACATTAAGCCGGTTGCAACAGCACTGACATAAACCGTTAAGAAGCCCTGCATATAAACATGCAGAAGGGTTTGGGTTGGAAGGGACCTTAAAGCTCCTCCAGCTCCAACCCCTTCCACAGGCAGGGACCCCTTCCACTGGAGCAACTTGCTCCAAGCCCCTGTGTCCAACCTGGCCT